ATATATATATATATATATATGCATATGTAAAACAAAATTCAAGTAAAGTGATAAATCCAAGTAAAGTGATAAGCGGCGTGCAAAAATAGTGCATAAATGTCAATTAAGGGGGGGTGTCTGAATCACTTGAGGGATGCATTATAGAGATCGATGACCATAAGTAGGAATGATTTCCTGTGGTGCTCTGTGGTGCATCTGGGTAGGAGGAGTCTTCTGCTGAAGGAGCTCGTCTGCTCGACCAGTGTGTCACGGAGAGGATGTGAGTTATTGTCTAAGATGACATTGTCTCAAGAGGGGGGGAGGATGAGAGACTCGCAAGGACGGACACATCGGTACAGACCAGGACTGATACATGGCTAACGAGAAGGCTCACCCAAACCACACTAACCGGGACAGGACCAGTAGTGCGATGTCAATGTGGCAGGATATGCAGGACCACCAGAGGGCTAAAGATCTGTCAAGCCAAGAACAAGTGTGGAGAGGAGGCAATTTTGTTGTAGCGCAGGCTGGCAACACCACATCAGATGCAGGAGAACCCGTCAGGAGGCACCCCACAGCACTGGAGAACTATTGGCAACGGCTTTGCCTTTGAACCACACAGTGGTCAACTCTAAAGCCTCCCGGGAACCTTAACCTGCAAAGGAAAGAGTAAAATGGCCGAAAATGTACAGCAACAAAGAGTGGCAGCAGCTGGATGAGGACCTTTGTAATATTCTTGAAACTGCTTTGGTAGAGGCAGCAGAACAGACGATGGGAATGATGATGGCAAGCATCTACAATGTGGCCAGGGAGAGGTTTGGTGTAAAGGAGAGGAGAGGAAGATCAGAACTCCAAATCGGAGGGAGAAGGAGATGCAGGGCATGCAGAGAGAGATAAATGCAGAGAAAGATAAATACACTATCCAGGCAGTTCAAGAATGCCAGTTGAAAAAGAGCGAATTGGAGACCTAACATCAGGGCTTCGTGAGTGGCTTCACAGGCTAGGAAGGGTGGAGCAGACATGGAAGCAGAGAAAAAAGAAGGGGGCAAAGATGGCACAGTTCATCAAATACCTCTATAGGTTTACTAAAACCTTATTAGGAGAAGCAAGATCAGGAACACTCAGCAGCTCTAAGGAGGAGGTTGAAGATGCTCTGAGGTTTACTCACTGTGACCCACACAGGTAGGAAATTCTTAGCAGCCACCCAAAGATCATCAGGGTGCCACCCCCCTCAGAACCTTTGGTGAGCAGAGAACTAAGTTGGAAGGAAGTGGAGGGGTGAAAAGGGCAAGGACAGCATCAGACCCTGGACCAAGTGGGTTGCCTTACAAAGTGTGCAAGAAGTGTCCACTTCTACTACTTACAGTAGACTTTGGAAGCTCCTCCGGGCATCTGGGCAAAGGGCAACATACCAACTACCTGGAGAGTGTCAGAAGGCTGCTTTGTGCCAAAGGATAGGTACTCTTCTGGGAACTGCCAGTTCTGCACCATCTCTCTGCTGAATGTAGAAGCAAAGATCTTTTTCTCAGTCTTGGCGAGAACGATAACTAGCTCCATGACAGCAAATGGATACGTCAACACCTCGATCCAGAAGGGGGTGATTCAAGGGTTCTCTGGATGCCTGGAACACACCACCATCCTTAGCCATTTGATCCAGGCGGCCAGGGGGAGCAAGGGCAACCTAACAGTTGTCTGGCTGGACCTTACAAATGCACATGGGTCCATGCCCCATTCCCTCATGAACAAGGCTATGGAGCAGTATCACATCCCTGACAAGATCAGGCTGATGATTAACAGCTACCTGGGGTCATTCAAGCTGCAGTTCCAGACTGCCAAGTTCACCACCGCATGGCAGGTACTGGAGAAGGGCATTGTAACATAATGCACAGTATCCCCCATTCTGTTCATGATGGGGATGAACCTCCTGATTACAGCAGCAGAGGCCAAGGGACCAGTTACGGCAGCAGAGAGCAGACAACCCCCACTGAGAGGATTCGTAGATGACCTCACCATAACAACCACAAAGCATGTGCAGGCAAGGTGGATCCTGAAGACTCTTGGAGTTTTAGCATCATGAGCGGAAAGGTCTTCTAAGCCCAGGAAGTCATGGAGCATGATGATAAGGCGGGGGAACTAACAGAGGCTTTCAAAATGCATGTCCAAGGCGAGCAGATCCCCACAATTGGGGAGAACCCAAGTGGTATAACAACACCCTCAGTGACATAAACAACATCTCTAACACTGCAAATCAGGTGGACGAGTGGCTAAGGAGGATTGACAAGGCAGGACTATCCAGCAAGATCGAGTCCTGGATATACCAGCATGGGCTCCTACCAAGTCTTATGTGGCTGCTGACAGTCTATCAGTTCCCAGGGACTGCAGTGGAGGGAGTGGAAAGGAGAGTTAACAAACATCTGAGGCGGTTGCTTGGTATCCCTCCCAGCTTCACTGCAGTTAAGCTCTACATTTGATTTGAACAGCTCCAATTCCATTTTCCTCTGTGGTGGAGGAGTTCAAGGTGGCTAAATGCAGGGTGGCAATGATGCTCAGAGACTCAAAGGACGAGCAAGTGAGCAACACATGGGTCACAACATCAACAGGCTGTAAGTGGGCAGCAGACACTGCAGTTAGTCAAGCTGAGAGCTCCCTGGAGTTGAGAGACATCATTGGCAATGTCTGCATGGGTTGGCAAGGACTGGGAACATCTCACTTCACACAGTGGAGGAAGGCAAGTGTCCAGCAGAGGCAAGAGATGGTAGAGGAGGAAGTTTGTCACCAAGAGGAGGAGACGCAGAAGGCTAAGGCTGTGGAACTAGCAACCCAGGGAACATGGACCAGATGGGACCTCTCAAATAGGATGGTCACATCGACTGAGCTCTTGAGGCTGGAACCTTTCCGTGACAGCTTCCTCCTTAGGTCAGTGTATCATTCACTCCCATCTCCAGCAAGTGGGGCTTGAGGGAGGACCTGCTCTGCAAGTTTTGTAGGAAGAAGGGGATGGTGGACCACATTTTAGCAGGGTGGCAAATCGAGCCAAGTGCTCCGAGTGATGGCTGACATTTTCGACCAGCCACGAGTACCATGTCCAGACCAGCTTGACACCAACATGACCTTGTTGTCATCTGGTCAGCGCAAACTAAGAATATCATCCTGGTGGAACTTACTGTGCCTTGGGAGGAAGGCTGTGATGAGGACATGAGAGGAAGAACCTAAAATACCAGGACCTCATCAAGGACTGCAAAGACAAAGGCTGGCAAGCATGGCTGTTTCCAGTGGAGGTCGGGTGCAGAGGATTCCCAGCACAGTCAATGTGGTCTGTGCTCACTGCACTTGGCATATCTGGCAAGGAGAGGAAGACAGCTGTGCGCAGCATTGGGGAGGCAGCAGAGAGC